AGCATAAGGGGAGTGTCTAGGGGCACGCACAGGCTCTTGATTGGTGTGCCTCCAGGCTTGGAGGACTTGCCCTGTATTGATTGATCAAACTGGTTGTTATGGCACATAGGCCCTCCCAGGGCGGTTGCTATGCTCTGCACATCATTGCTGTGCACTTGTCAGTAAAGAACACCTAGAGCCGTAAAGCATAGCACACCAGCTAACTTCTGATTGGTTCCTTGCCACGAGGCAGGCATCTGACCTCCTCGTGACCAAGACAAGGCCAGGCAGTTTATGGCAAGCACGTGTTCGGCGTTATGGCTGCCGAAAGGGGAGCAGGTCCCTTCACAAGGTCCTTTTAATGAAGGCAGTACCTGACCTGAATCTCACTACAGAACTAACAGAAGCTATTCCCACATTTAGTAAAACTGAGGTCAGCAAGATATGTGAGGCTGAAGAGGGCCTCTTCACTTTTTAAAGGGGTAGAGGGATCTTGTCCCATCTCTCTTGTTTTCAAACTTAGATTTACTTTTCTTTTCCATCTCTTCCTTCAGAATCAACCCTATACCCAATACCTTGCCTAGGCCCTACTGGTGTTTCTGTCACCTTCTGCGGACAGTAGTTATCATCACACCCTAATAGTTCATCCTCAGGCCTCGAAGCTTCTGGGACCTCACCTACTTAGACCTCACTCTTTCATACAAGTCTTGGCAGTAATAGAACACCCAGGGCCAGACTTCATCCTCAGCATAAACCTTCCTACTGTACGAACACATGAATGATCTTTCCTAATCTTCTGGCAAAATAATAGGACAGGAGGGAATATATAAGAGCTGAAAAATAGGTTGAACAGCCATTCTCTAGACTTATTACAACATTGTTATCACAACTATAGTGACCTGCATTGGGCCCCATTAACAATCAGTCAAGGAAAGGTTCCCTGGGTCTTACCTTTAACCCCTGAACTATTAACTACTGATAGATTCTGAGAGAGGGGAAATCACTGTTTTAGTTGTGTACCCACCAGGCTCCAAGGGATAGCTCCAAACCCATGATCACACAGATGGCCCTGGTTATTCTCAGTGGGTCACAAACAAAAATAATAATACATGAACATAAGAGAGAGATTTGATGGGAGGTGGTAAAAGTGGTCTGATGCGTTATATACACATCTGAAACTGTAAAAATAATTAAAATATTTTTTAAATGGCAGAATGTCTTAGTTAATCTTCTATTGCTGTGATAAAACACCATGACCAAGACAACTTATAAATGAAAGTGTTTAATTTGACTTACAGTTTCAGAGGTTAGAGTTGGGTGGAGCAAAGGAACAGCTAAGAACTCACATCTGATCCACAACTATGAGACAAAGAAGGAGGCATGGAATGAGTCTGTATGACCCTCAAAGCCCAGCCCCAGTGACACACTTCCTCCAAAAAGGCCACACCTCCTAATGCTTCCCAAATAGTCCCACCAACTGGGGACCAAGTACTGAAACATAAAAGCTTATAGGGACCATTCTCATTCAAGCTATAGAACAAAGTCAGGATGAGGCAAACTGTGGTCCTTAGCTCACAAGTTCTATGGCTACACTATGTGAAGCCTGAGTCCAGTTTAGAGCCCTACCTCCTCTTCTGTTAGAGTTGCCACCTCCTTTTTAGTATTTAATGATCTCTGTGTAGACGCATGTCAGGAGAAATGGTTTCTTTTGCTAAAATAATTTCTAAATCGCATAGACTGGGGAAGGCAGGTCTAGATTCCCTCTGGTTCTGGCACCACAATGACACAGGTTGTTATTTATTACCTTTCTATATACTCTGTTTCCCACTAGGGGCTTCATTATGGACACAGAGGCCTGTTGTTTTCAAACCAAAGGAAACTGAGACTACAACATTTTATGTCAATGCTCCAGAATTTTAGATAGCAGCAACTCATGAAGGTAGCCATTCTAATTGTAAATCTCAGACTTAACTGCCTCCTCAGACAGTTTGCTTAGGAGCCATCCATTTGCACATTTACTCTAAAGAGCCTGTGGTTGACAAAACAAGTTCTGTCCTGTTACAACTTGACATACCTGGCATCTATACTTACAATGTTGGTTTTAGAGTTTTCTCTTATCTTGAAAATACATCACTTCTAAGAAAATGATCAAATGTCAGTGTGTGTGTGTGTGTGTGTGTGTGTGTGTGTGTGTGTGT